TAGCAGGCACATGCTGCATAATAAACCCTTTATTGAAAAGAAGTTCTGTTGTTGGGACAGAATGCCACAGTTATGCTTCTTACTGAGAAAACCTTTTCCTCTGCCCTTCTCTTTCTTGCCTTCGTTTCTCTTCTGACTGTCGCATCCATCTTTCCGTAACTTGCTGCCTCACTTAAGCAACAAATCAGCTAATACAGTATAATTCACTCACACCGATTACCCCTCTTGCTTATTATCTTAAAAAAGACCAACTGAGCAAGATAAAAGAGCAGCTTCAGGGTTGCTTAGGTTGCCTTGGCTGTTGTGGTTATTGAAGTGACTACATACAGTATATCACTAAAAAATACAAAAATCTGAGAAATACTGCGTTGGTATAAACTTTTATCATGTATGTATGTTGTACTTAGGTGTCAAATACAATTTTAAGTACTAAATTAGTTTTAACTGTATGCATGCGGTAGGAACTCAGTGTTTTATGTTCCAGTTTATGACCAAAAATTAAAAATGGCATTCTAATATTGTAGCGGGCTACTGAAAAGCTTTTGCCTTTAATTTTGCAGCTACTTTAGTAAGATTACTGGATAAAAAAGAAAGAAGATGGAAATTGTTTTTGTCCTTTGAGTGTCTTCAGAAGAAGGACCAAAGAACTTGTTAGTTGTGGAATTGTATTTTAAGTAGGTTCTCCCTGGTACTTAGGAACACACTTTGATATGCACAGCTAAGTTGTTTTTATCTGAAGGTGCAGGTAGAACACAATGCAGATCTGACCTCCTTTGAAACTTGTTTGTTGGGTTGGTTATTAGTTTTCCCTCTAAGGCTAGGTCCTCAGAGTTCACAAGGTAATTTGAAAACCTTAAGAAATCCCTTAGCAGTCTTGTTTGTACTGTTGTAAAACTTACATCATTTCAGTTGGCCAAGTCCAGTCTTTTTTTTTCCCCTCCCCCGTCTTCATCCAGCACTAAAGAATTAAACCAAAATAGTGTCCTTCTCATTTCCCTAATTTTTTTTAGGTTTCTTTTTTTCAATCATCAGTCACTCTGGGGTTATTTTTCACTGCTGTGTAGATCCCTAGGGTTAAAACACAAGTTGTTAGCTGCATGATTTTGATTGTGATACAGGAAATGAATCAAAAGCAATATGGCAATCTGTTCATGAATGGGTTTGCTATGCTTTAATCTTCAAAACAGTATAATTTTTTTCTTAGTAGAATAGTAAAAATAGACATTTTTTCATAAAGTGATTCCCTGGTTCTGATTTGCAATTAAATTTTCTCTGTTTGCAATTAAAAAACGAGTAGGTCAAGCCTTTATTTGAAAGCATGGATGGCAACTTCTGGTTGGAGTAGTTGAGCTTTTAGTTTTGAAAATCGGTACTCTTGCCTCTGTGGAATTCAGATATTGCTATGACAACTGTACTTTTAATGCTGCAGGATCATGTTCATCAGCTACAGTTAAGTTTAACCTTGGGGTGATGGGATGAAAAGAGGGCTGGAGTTTATGCTGATGCCACATAGAACAGTAATTCTCAAACAATTGTGTTATACCATATGGAGCCTTTTCCAGAGAACTGTAAAACAGCACTGCGAATCATCTTTGAGGAAGTAGCTGTGGGTGGTCTGTAGAAGGAGCTTATTGTAAATGCTCTGCATAAAATGAACTTGTGGGAATTGCTTTTCTAAATTTCACTTAGGAAGTTACTATTGAGTTCGCTTGGAATAGCACAGTTCCTGTTGGGATTTTTGTGCTCTCTCTAATGTAAACAGTATGTGCTTTGAAAAGTGGTACAGTATTGCTCTACTAGTACCATCTTGTGTATTTTATATAGATATAAACTTTAGCTGACTTGGCTAACACTCTTGTCTACTCATTCAGAGGAAATGAACTATCCCTTAGAACAGGTCTGCTGGAAACATAATGCTGTGAAGACACTTAGGAAGCTTTTGTCGTAAAGGTATTGTTTGTCCCCTTGCTCTGTGTTTTTATCTGCCTGTAAAGAACTCGCTGAAGAAAGGGTCCTTTTTCTCTAACATTTTTGAAAGACCTTAGAGCATAAAAGTTGGTGTTAATGGTTGCATTACCTAGGAATGTAGGGCTCAGTTGTTTTTCCCTTGCCTCTATCGGCTTCCTTCCATTATCATTTGAAGTATAATTGATTCCTAAGCAAGAGCTTAGATGCTAAAATCCTCTCTTTGCATTGTACTCTCTTTTACTACTGTAACATCATTTAGCCAGAGTTTTGGCTTCTGGTATTTTCTAGACCCTTTGAATAAAACAGGGACTTTCTTAGTAAAGCATAGAAAACTGTAAAGTAGCTAAAACAAATTAGGTTTTGTTTTGCAAGTTGTTCAGCATGGATGTAGAGTATGTATCTAAGCATGAAATTATTGTGTGATTTGTATGTATTAGACTTGGAGAGGGGCAAGATAAAAAGGGACTGTATCTTAGCTCTGTCTTTTCCATACTTTAAGGTACTTTCAGTTTTCATCCATATCAGACTTCTTTTAGTTTTCCATTTCCTACTTCCTTTACAACTAGAAAACCATCCATTGGTGGTAGTTTTCTTTTGTAGTGATGAAGAGTTTGCTTAAGTTTGTTGTGCAGTGCTGTTGTTGGTGAATTCAATTTCCAGTAATGCAAAGTGAACCTTGTGTCACATGAATACATTTAAAGTCCTTCAATTTTCTGATTGTCTTTGACACCTTTCATAAATGCTTCATTACCATTGCATACAAAAACGTTCCCCGTTGGCAGTCAGGCTACGTAGCATAATTTAACATATGATTAAACTCTTCAAAACTGTTACAGACTTAACTCAGTATAAATCAAACGGATACTCCTTTACAGTTGTATGCTGTGAGTGAAATTGTCGTGTTTTGTTCTTAGTTTTCTTAGCACAGATGAGAGTTTTGTATCTAAAGTTGTGAATAGTGCATATGACCAGGGTGCCCTACATACGTTCCAGTGACAGACTCGATCGGCTGTTGTACTGAATCTTGGAATTTTGTGTAGTACTACTTTGTAAAAAAAAAAAGAGGAGGTGGAAAAGTATTTTGGTAGAAATATTTGTGACCTGTGAAAGATTACAAAAATGCCATTTAGATAATCCAGACTATTTGCTGAGATTACCATGTCTGTTAATGTATCCTGGGGGGACTGGAGAAAAACAAGCAGTACCCCAGACAGTGTAACCACAAAAACCTTTTTTACACACTGAAAAATGTGGTGTCACGGCATACAGGAGACATTGGTATGTCATTATATTTTTCTTTCCTAAATTAGATACTAAGAACATTGTAAACTCAGTAGGAGCTAGGAGATTCTGCCTCTGTGAATTGATCTGCAAGGGACTGTTTCGTGATAATATGCCTTTGTACGAGGCAGTGACCCCCTAAACCTTGGGAAAACAAAACAAAAGGCAATGCCTTAATCAGGTGTGTGCATATGTTACTGGGTGGTCATTTTAATGATTTCCAACTTTGCTTTAAGGAAAAGCTATTACTACTTGTGTAATAGCTATTGAACTCTTACATTTTGCTAGCCTAGCAGAATATGCTAGACTGCATGATTTTGGTTTACTTTAATACACTAATTGTAAGATACATTAGTCTGGTTGCTGCTACATAGACAACAGTTGTCCACACATTGAGGTTAGTTAGAGTGGGATCTGGCCATTGTGATTTAAGATAAAGATAACTGATGGAAAGCAAAATATGGCAGTTGATGCTTCTTCCCTACTGCTGCTCCTGTGGCTTACAGAGCTACCTTCAAAATCTGCTCGTGTGTAACCTTTGTACTGTGTCTTGTTGATACTTAAAGCATTTCTGTACTTAAGTATGGACTTCAAAATGCAATCCTGAAAAGATTTGCATGGAAAAAGGTCTATATCTTTGTAAGCCAAAACATTTTTATACTGTAGAACAGGATATTTGTAGAAAAAATGCAGCATGAAAAGAAGACACAGTGTCTCAGTAAAAAGTATGCTTCATGAGCATGACGTTGAAATATTTTTTGACAATTATTTCAGAGAAGATTTCAGAGTTAGCCTTAGTACTTGTAAAAACATTCTGAATGTTGGTTGGTCATGATGAAATTGTCATGGAACAAATTCCTCTAAAACAACAAGGGTGCAAGAGCGAGGGGACTTGAATTTCCAGTTGGAGTCTAGAAGCAGTTAGTTGCAGCAAGTACTGTTGAAGCGAGTTACTGCCAAATATTGTGGTGCTCAGATAATATTCCAGTTTTTCTATATTTGATCACTGTCTCATTTTTTTCGATATGACTTTGGAATTACTTTGTAAGAGAGTTTGCGTTTCATGTCTTGTAGAAAAAATATGTGTATTCCTTGCACTTTTGCCGTTTTGGAGATATTGAAATCTTGGGTTTGAGTTTTTTGGTTGTGGGGGTTTCAGAAAAATATCCCTGAGAAGACTTAGTTCTGTAAAACTCAGGATATTATTTTTAAGCATTTTAAATATATTATGAGAAACATTAAACAGAAAAATAGTGTAAGAAAATATGAGTAAATCAGGTCTTTAACAGCTCTTTCTTTGAAAGATAGGACCACATTTCTCCTTAAAAGTACCTTCCCAACTGTTAGTATCTTTATAATTACCTTCACAAGTACATTTACTTAGAGCAGGTTGTCAATTCAGAGGAGTGAGGGGAATGAAGAGAATAATGAAGGAAAAAACCTTCCAAACTTGCTGCTGTCTGTAAATGTACTTTGACTATCTCAATTACTAGCAAGGTAACTATATACAGAAATGAAAATAGTGCACTAACAAGGAGTACTGTAAAGGAGATTATTATTTGTATAGTTATTTGTGCTATAAGGAGCGCTACTGGGATTTCTTTTTTTTGCTGAGAATAATCTTTTAATGTTGGAGTTTTTTGTAATCTGTCTTCAGCATTGCAGGATCAGTGTTCTTCTCAGAGGAGAATAAAGTAAATATAATTAACTTTTTTTTTTTAAATTAAGCTAAATAGATTTTTCTTTTTTAGCTTCGAGCAATAAATGTAGATCTCCAGACTGATGCTGCTCTGCAAGTGGATATCTCAGATGCACTCAGTGAGAGGGATAAAGTGAAATTCACTGTCCATACAAAGGTAAAAACTTGAATTTGTAAACTCAACACTTTCTTAATTATATACAAAAGAAAGTTTACTTAAACTGTTTATTGAAACAATCACTGCCCTAGTCCTGTAGGCCACATGATTTCTGCTACAAGCCAGAATGTCACTGGCCTTTTTGGCCACCTGGGCACACTGTGGCTCATGTTCAGCTGCTGTCAGCCAGCACTGCCAGGTCCTTTTCCACCAGGAAGCTTTCCAGCTGCTCTGCTCCCAGTCTGTAGCACTGGGGTTCTTAGGACCCAACGGCAGGACCTGTCACTTTGCCTTGTTGAACCTCACAGAACTGACCTCAGTCCAGGGATCCAGCCAGTTCAGATCCCTCTGTAGAGTCTTCCTGCCCTCCAGCAGATTGTCTCCACCCGACCTGGTGTCATATGCAAACTAACTGAGGATACACTCCATCCTCTCATCCAGATCACTGATGAAGATGCTAAACAGAATTCCAAGATTAAATGGATAAAATATTAAACATATCTCCAAGGGCAGAGACTCCACAACCTTTTTGGGCAACATATTCCAATTGATTGCTGCACTAATTAAGATGAGGGTAATTACTGCTGAATGAACTTTTTTGTGTCAAATCCTTACTTGGATGATTCACTTATTTTTACAGGGACATTTCTGTTGTTCCTTCAAGGTGCTTCTCATGCAGTAATGAAAAACACTGATTTTTTTGTTGTGTTTTTTTTTTTTTTCCCACCCATAATTCTACCTCCTTTTTCCCCTCTAGAGTTCCTTACCAAATTTCAAACAAAATGAATTTTCTGTTGTCCGGCAACATGAAGAGTTTATTTGGCTTCACGATTCTTTTGTTGAGAATGAGGACTATGCTGGCTATATCGTAAGTACTGGTGTTCTTTTGGTTTATATGCAACATTTTCTGTGGGCTGTATCAAAAGTACTTGAGACTGCTTTTAAATGCCGTAGAAACAGCAGGTGTTCGTTCCTTCTAAAATCAGATCAGCTTCTCTAATACTTAACTTCATGCAATTACACAAATTTCATGGTTGAAGCAAGCTTGGAGAAAAGTTACAGTAGTTGTAATACTTTCTTCCCTTTTTCTCATAAGGAATGAGTAGTTTCATCTCTCTCCAAGTGCACGTTAGGCTGCTGTGTTAAAAATGTGAGAGATAATTGAGCTGTGGTATTGTTTTTGCAAGCTAATGTTAGAAGTTTCATGTTGCTTTTGTTTTAGCTAGAATTGCAGAGTGAAATAATTAGACTTTTCCAGTTTTCATTATAAAGATCAGAATCTTTTTACCATAAATCAGAGTGGGGGAAACCAATAAAAATATCCTGTAGAACTACAGAGAACTTCAGTACACAATAACTTAAGGTTTGAAGTTTATTTCAAGCCTCCAGAGACAAGAGGTCTCAAAATAGTCACCTTATGATAGCGCATATTAAAAATGGATGCTGCTGCTCATACATTAATTGCAAATAGGTATATTTGTCATCTTGGTATGAAAGGTATTCATTTTGTGTTTGGGGGGTGTCTGCTGATGCAGAAGGTAAACAGATATTTCTAATTCATTAGGGGGTACATTATAATGAGTATAGTCTGTGATGTGTCATACCCTTCTTGAGCTAGTCTTTTCTTAGTCAGCAACGCTGTTTGAAGTAACTAGACCTTCAGTGTGTTGATAACTAGCTTCAGATAGTTGACTGTCTAGATGCTGGATTTTTTGTTTTTTGTAATGTGTTAATATAATGGGCCCATATCAGTAAACTAAAGTTTAAGCATAGTTTAGGTTTGTTCTGTGTCCCTTTCCTGACAGCAGTTCAGGATTAGTTTGACTGTGGTGTTTACTGTGTGCTTTGTTGTTTCAACAGATGCATCTTTAATGTCAACAGTGCTGCAAGAAAGCGCTAGTGTCTGCAAACAACAGGGAATGGTTTTCTTGGTTTAAAGTCTCTGGGAGTTATAAATGGATGGTGTGAAAACAGTTGTGTAATACCAAATAAGCTAAACCAAAACTCATTAGAAAATAATGATCTCAGGCTTTAATTCATCGTCATGGGAAAGCTAGGTGTTATTTGGTTTCTGTTGTAATTAAACTGAAGCCATTAGTTCATACTTTAGTAATCTTCAAGGACACTTGACCAAAATTGGTATAGTAATGTGGCACTTATAACTCATGAATGAGAGACTTCATCTAGAAATGCTATAATGAATGATGGAAGAGAGAGCCATATATTAAAAGGCTGCAGGCAACCTACAGTTCCTGTACTGAATGGCTGTTGTTTGATTGAGAAGATGAGAGATTAAAAAAAAATTGGATTCAATTCCAGATTCCACCAGCACCACCCAGGCCTGACTTTGATGCCTCCAGGGAGAAATTGCAGAAACTTGGAGAAGGGGAAGGATCGATGACTAAAGAAGAATTCACCAAGATGAAACAAGAACTGGAAGCGTATGTAGACTTGATTACTACTTTATATCTTTATTTATATCCCAGAACTTTTAAAGCCATTGGCTGTCCCATGTTTCCGATTTCAGTGTAACGGTTCTCTGTGAGATACAGGCTTGAGAATCCAGTTGCTACATAACCAGGGTTAATCTTAGTGATCATGATCAGTGCCATTAGGAAAATTGTAGAAATAATTTCATGGAAGATCTTCTGAAACAGGAAAAATAAATTGGCTTGTTCTTGTACATTCTTCTGTAAGAAAGAACCTAGTTAGATCCTTTTCTTCACAGAACATCTGCAAAGGGCAGAGATAACCTCTATCTATCTTAGTTTTGGTGTTCCACATTTTAAAAGCATAATGAGACTTTAAGTTTATACATGTAGGGATTGATGTAGGGAGTTTTGCATGTGATTGGTACTGGAAACATACATGCCAACCTTCTGTTCCCCAAGAAATACGAAGATTACTAGAAAATATTTTTTGACACTTTTTTTTTGTTGCTTTTGCACAAGGAGAATATACTTCCTGAAAATAGTGTTTTCCCTTACTATGAATTTAATTTATATTGAAATATCTGCTCTGAGGCTTCTTGTTCCATATTGAGTTACACAGTGAAGTTTCTCCTTGCTTCGTCCATTTTCCTTATCATGCATTCACTTCTTTGATCTTTTTCCTGTCATTGGTTTCAGTTTTCAAGTGTATATTTACGCTGCTTCTAGACTGCTTCTATCAAGAGCTCTGAATTGGCAAGAAAAGTACATAGAACTCTTAGAACTGCTGCTTTCTCTCCGAACTTCAGCTGCTGTGAGCAAATGTCTTAAAAAGCTCTGTATTAGTGATATGTACAACATAATTTACAGCAGAGTAGATATACACTTCATATGCAGAAAACTGGAAATTAGCAAAACACTATAGATTTTAAAGAATCTGGTTTTCCAGCGGCCCTGATCATGATTCTCTTGTGGTCTGGTTAGGGGTTGGATAACACAGAAAACTTTGGGTTTCTTCTACTGCCACCTCCATCCTCTGCATCCTCCTTTTTTGTCTTCACTGAATGACTACTACTCTCACTGAGATCAAACATCTCCCAACACTGGCCCTGCTGGTTTGCTGGTATGTAAATCTTAACCTCCTTGCACATAGTGGAAGGAAAAGTGTTGATTATAATTTCACTGTTTGACCTCAGAACGGGAAAAAGAGCCCTTCCTCATTTTTAGATGAGTTACATCTTATTCACTGAATTTGCAAAGCAAAATGAATTATAGCAAACTTGTATTGATAATAATGCCTTCCTCTTAATTAAATTGCAAGTGAGTAATTGCTTTGAAGTTGAGTTGGCTGAACTGGGCAACTACGTGATTGTTATGGTTAAATGCGATTTTTTTCGGTGTACCTACCACTTAATTTCACTTTTAGAATCACTATGAAGCAAGACATTAACATAAGCTTCGGCTCAAAAAGGCTAGGGACTCTAATGTGAAATAAAAGACTATCTAAACAGCTAACAAAGCCACATAAACATTTAAATAAGTAAGGAGGGTGCGAATGGGCATGGGGATGGAGATGGGGAGGAAGGAATACATCAGTACATAGTGCCTAGTGACTGTAGTCTGTACTTCAGTTTCTTGATTTTTTGGGGTGCTGGGGAAAGGACAATGACATTAGGTTACACGTTCAGCAAACCAGTGTCTGTTAGCTAACTTTAAAAATCAGAGTGTATTTGTTGACTCTTCATCCAAAGTCTCTCTGTAGTGTGTTCAGGCTTCACATTTCTCACTAGTGTTATCATTGTACTATTTATTTATGTCTATATCAAATATTGGAGTGATAAACTCTATTACGTTGGTTTATAATTTTGTACCCTTACTGAGGATCTCTTTAAGCTGCTCACTAGGCTTATCTCAAACTTAATTGCTTCATATGAAGTTCTTATGTCTGTCTTATTTCTTGTTTTTAGTGAATATTTGGCAATATTCAAGAAGACAGTTGCAATGCATGAAGTGTTTTTGTGTCGTGTGGCAGCACATCCTATTTTGAGAAAGGATTTAAATTTCCATGTATTCTTGGAATATAATCAGGATGTGAGTATTGAAAACTGAATTGCTGGCAACAGAAATCAAGATATACTTTTATGGTAGGATGGAAAATTGATTAAGAGGGCATTACCTCCTGGAGCAAATTACATCAGTTCCTTCATACCAGACATACTTGTATTGTAAAAGTTAGAAATTCATTTAGTCGGTAGGATTTCATTTTCTGCCATCTGTGGAACCAAATGCACTGTGCTCTAACCTCAGCATCAAAAATATTAATGGAAAGCTAGTATATTTTGAATTAAAAAGATGAGCTTTTGGTGGTGATTTCACGTGACATTATACTTTTCCACTCTGACTGAAGTTTTTTCTGTTGTTGTGAGGAAGAATGATACAAGAAAGATGGAACACTAATTTTTAGGATCTGGAACTGTGGTATAAATTCTGCTGCCAACAAAACTAGAGAGAATTTCTAATTAAATGTTTGTGATGAGTAAAGCCTTTTTGTTAACAATGTAAGTGAAAATTTGGTTATTTTTTTTCTAAGTATTGGACTAGTGTGGCGTCCCACATGTTACCTACTGAGTTGAGATAATGGAGAGGACTTTTTGGATTCATAACTTTGGTGGTGGAGTTAGTGGTTGCTAATATTCTGCAAACAGTTTTTAGTTACTTTTTAAAATTGCAGGAATCAACATTGAATGTTAAAGAAATCATTACAGAGAGTGGCTCAGCTGCATACACACTGTAATCAAAATATGTTACGAGGTTCCTCTGTTGCTTGATGTAGAAATGCTTATTGCTTCAGGAAGTCAGTTACCTAAACTGGGCGAACTTAGATGGACAGGAGAAGGCTGAGGAGGCTGAAACCGGCATTAGCCTCTGGAAGTGAAAGATCTGTTATGGTTATATTAAGTCAGCAGCTCTGTGCATGATAAATACTGTATTATTGATTACTGAAGTGTACATCTTGTACATTTGGTATTACCTGTAAGTGCTAGAATGTTGCCGGTCTTTTTCTTTTTTTAATTTCTAGAACAGTATTTTAGGTGATAAAGAACACTCTAGTACATGAGGTAGTCTGTCATTCTGGATGCATGGTGCCCTGTCCCCATTAGTGCAGAGTATAACACTAGGCAGAGAGCAGGAGAACCAGTTTAGGTGTAGCGAGTTATGGTATGCAGTTCTATTTAATTTTTTTTTAAAGCTTTTATTGTGACCAGAAAAGGAATGAACTTGATAAATGAATTTGTTTTTCAGTTGAGTGTTCGTGGGAAAAATAAGAAAGAGAAACTTGAAGACTTCTTCAAAAATATGGTTAAATCGGCAGATGGTGTCATTGTTTCAGGAGTAAAGGTGATTATTGCTTCACATATCAAGATTTAAAATGTATTAACATTGTTGTCGCCTTTTTTTTACGAAGCAGAATTTTACATAGGTACAAAAATGGGACTTTTATAGTGATATCTAACTTAAGCATTTGTGGCAGACCATGGGAAAGAAGTTGTGGCATGGATGCAAGATAACTAAAAGTTGGCTTGTGTGAAACAGGGCTTTCGGTGCTCTTTCCCCCTGTTTTATGAAACTAAGATTTTTTTTAATCCACAGATAATTGATAATCTGGGGTTTTTTTTGTTCCAACCTGCCATTTTATATAGTGGGAAGGGGAACTTGGTTTGACAACTGCTTCAGTTAAGAAGTTAATAACACAGTGTGAATTTTACCAGCCTAGTAGAATCCTTCTGCTGTTTCAAAGCTAAGAGCAGCAGTGGAGGTGATATGATGTTTCCCACTAGATGCAAGAATGTAACTGAGACAAAAAAAAAAAAAAAGAAAAAAGAAAATTCAATTAATTTTGACTTTTTCAAAAGCTATAAGATTGGTTTTATAATAAGCATAAATTCTGCAGAGGATGGGTTTTGATCTATTTTCTTTCTAGTGGTAACTTTCCATTTGCTAGCAATTTCCAGGAGTTAAAGTTTCTAGTTTTAAAATCTTGAGTTTTGAAGCTGCTGGAAGGTGGATATAACTATGGATTAGTTATGACTTGGAGAAAAATGTAAAGTCCAAGTAACAAGCATTTTTTGTAAGAACATTGTTCAAAGCCCATGTTGTAGGCTATTACATGGTATTGAGCATCTGTGTTATTTTAGAGGGTTTAAAAAAATTAATATAAACCAAGTATCTCAAACTGTAATACAGAAAATAGTAAAATTTACCTGCATTTACCAAACTGAAAAAAGTCTATCATTAAGATCAGTGTTCTGGGCTAGGAGTTCATATCATCTCTGCTGTAACCACAGCATCTGTGCAACTGGCTGACTTTCATCCCCTCTCCCTCTTTTCTACGTAGATGTCCTTTTATTAAGTACTTGACATGTGTTCTGTTTTTCTGTCACCCTTTGGTGACCCTTTAGTAGTTAGTAGTGAAATTATATCCTTCATGTGTAGTCATATAGACCTTTAAGATGCTTGTTACAAACTCTTAATTCTTATTAAATTCTTAGTAAAACTTCAGCTCATGATGTAAGTGGAAGTCAGTTTACATAAATAGTGTTTTAGACAATAAAAATAGATTGCATTTGCATACAGCGATGTGTAAATTTACTCTGCAATTGCTCTGTAGAGAGTGAGTGAATACTGGTTTTTTAATTGTTCTCCTTTATTTTTTTGTAGGATGTGGATGACTTCTTTGAACATGAAAGAACATTCCTTGTAGAATATCACAACCGAGTCAAAGATGCCTCTGCCAAATCTGATAAAATGACAAAATCACATAAAAGTAAGGGTTTTTTTCCAGGGTGAAAACAGTACTAGTTAAAGTGGACAGAAGTTGTTCATGAGGAGAAGTAATTTTTTTTCTTTTTGCATGCAAAAAGTGAATTTATTTCTCCAAGTGTTGCCTTGAGATAGTCTAAATCTGAGTTTCAAAGTTAAGGCTTTTCTGTAGTAGACTAGATGGAGTAAGAACAGCCTAGTGTGACACTGAAGATACCTTGGCTCTTCATGCTGTCTGCTTGAAGAGAAACATGTTATGTATTATTTTTTGAAGTCTGATTCTTAGTCATTAAGGTGTAGAGGTGGGTAATATAGCAGTCCATATGATTTTACACTTAGTGAAGTTGTTTTTGATTAGAAGAGGTTGATTTCATCAGAGTGCAATTTCTTGGCACACTAGGCATTGCATTACTGTGCTAGCAAAGTTACCTTTGTTAGTAGCAAACTCCTACTTAGGAAATGAGTTCTAGATTGGGTTTCCATTTTTCATCCATTTAGAGTGGAGACTGGAATGTGTACATTCAGTAGCCTGGTTTGCAGGACCCCTTTTTTTTTTTTTACTGAGACAAGATTTTTCCACTTGGCTATTGATTTCTGTTCCTGAGCTGAGTGCTGGCTAATGTGACTTAGGAAAGCTCTGGATAGTCTTCTCAAGCACAGTGCATTTATTTGAGAAAATGAAAAAGCTTTGAGTTAGGACTATTGTGTTTGGCTTAGGATTACTGTGTTTTGAGAAACTCAGAAAAAAATTACCTATGTTGCCCTTGATTGCAAGTTTTTGTGCCTAGATAAATCAAAATTGATCTACTAGATTCTGTCTACTTTCTTGAAGTTTGTGTTTGATTTACAGATTCTGTCTTTGCTATCTACAGTAATATAGTTCACACAAAAGCAGGTCACAAAATCATTTATGAATCTCCATTGATAAGACCTCTGAAGTGGATATTGAATGAGACATTAAAACAAGAATTTACTGAGTTCTTTTGATGCTTCTTTTATTGTTGTATGAAGGCTTAGTCTTGTAGCTTTAGTATCTCTGCTAGGAGACAGTGAGTGAGTTATGGCTTAATGAACTATTAAGGGGCCCTGTGTCTGCATTCAGTTACCACCTGAAGAGGTTTCTGGTGTTTTTGTTTGCTTTCTTAAAGTGAAAACTGAACTTCATTCATAGTAGTTAAGAGCCAAGATTTATCTACATAGTGAGGAGGCCTTTTACATTGGTTGTAGAACAAGGAAGATCATTTGAAATGAGGTTGTAGAGGAAAGGAAAGGATTGATTAAACTCATGACAGAGCTTCAGTGGTTTTCAAACTGAAGTCACATAGGATGTTTGTTGACAACTTTTATCAAACTGCAAATTGGGACAAATGGCACCTTTTGAAATTCTGGCTAGCAGAGTAAAGCAAAGACCTGGGAAGCCTGTTTTAGAAATGAGCAGTCTGTAGTTTATGGATAATTTATGATTGGCACAGAGTTGCAGGGCTTGTAAAGACACTGACTTGCTATTTCCAGCAGAAAATCTTATGTTTATGTTGAAATGGGAGGAATAGAAGGGGAGGTTAATAGCTTCCTGATACTGTTCTTCACTGTAACCAACTGCACTGATGATGTATGGAGTAATGAATTGGGTGGAAGTTGACCCACTCATAATGTTAAAACAAGGTTATGTTATTTAAAAAAACAAAATTCTGCTTAAAGGCACAAATAACAAGCAAATATATTTTTCCTGTTCATTGCTTGGATCTGCGAGAGTTTTCATCATCCACTGAGTTTATACTAAAAGCTCTTTATGAAAGTCATGTGTGCAGAAATTTGATTTTTATGATTACTATATGGCAATACCTCACTAGTCAAATTATACAACCTTCATACAAATACCACTTCTAATTTCATTGTTTGAAATGCTTTAACACTAATGCTACTTTACTGGTGACTGTTGATGAGGTAAGGGTTTCCTGAAAACTAGACAGTACTAGAAAGTATATTGTGCACATAGCACTCTATTTCTGGTAGTTTGGAATTTGTAGTCAGTTTACTGCTCTCAAGCACACAGACTTTTTTTGTTGTTGTTAAACTGTGATTATTATTTTTTTTCAGATAGCTTTAAACTCAGATTTAAATTCAGACTTTAACCATTGAGTTTGTATATCTTCCACCAAAACGAAACCTAACAAAGTTTCACAATAAATTTAGCCAGCAGGTTCTAATCATGTAAAATATTCCTAGGTAAATTACAGGCTGTGCAATTTGGTGAGGGCACCATTTTTATTGTGCGAAGTCATCCTTCCTAAAAAGTGACGTGACTGCAATTTTATTTCTGCTTTTGTGTTAAAGTATGTCCTTTTAGAAAAACTCTTACTCTCGAAGGAAGAGAGGAACTTCAAAATTTTCAGAAAGAAGAAGAATGAAGTATTAAAACAAGTGCTTGTTTGTTTTTCTAGATGTGGCGGATGACTACAATAGAATTGGGTCTTCATTATATGCATTAGGAACACAGGACTCCACAGATATATGCAAGTAAGATATTGTTAATAATTTATAGGGTAGTTTGATAAGTAGCAGTCTTAATGGTGACCTGCTGAGATTATTAGCTCTTGTTATAAGAAAACCACAGTTTATTACAGCTATATCACATTAACATATTTTTTCTCTAGTATTTCATTTCTGTAACAGGCTGCTTTTAATATTTTTGCTTAAATATTTGTTTGTAAAAATGCTGTTTTCTGCAGTTTGTAGAAAATTACATAGTTGAGATGGAAAAGCCCTCATAGAATAAGGAAGAAACCCAATGCTTTCACAATTTTTTTAAAATAAGTGCTTTGACGTGTGCAGCAAGCACAGGTATCAGTCTGAGTATATAGATTTTTTTTGAGTGTTCTCTGTACCAACGTCTTGAAAAACAGTTGTGCTGTTCTGGCACATTTAGGCAAATAAAGGAATCTACAGAGATCCCCAGAACTTTGAAAATAGAAGAGGATCTTTATGTACAGATGTTTGTCCTTTAATCTTTTAGTGATTTGCTTGAAGATGGAGTTTGGTGTATCTGCAAGTAAAACTTAGTTAACTAACTTTAAGATGTCAGCGTTGTGAATATGCATGTGTAGTTCATTAGTGTGATGTTAGTGTCGCTGTGATGACAGGTAGAAGGTGAATATGAAAGTTAACTTATTTTTATTAATTTACCTGAATTACAGTTATATACTTTCAAATGTGTTGATAGCTTACATATCAGTTACCTTGTTAAGAGTATTTATATTTGTTGTAGTCTGTTAGGGTCTGTCAGAAATCACATCTGTCTTCTGTCAAAATAGTATAATTTGACTGTAATTTAGTCTGCTGTTAGACTGAAGCCTTGTATTGTCTCCTGTGATGAAGATGTGCCCCATGTTTACTGTGTGAAGAAAAGTAGGTTCAACTTAAGTAAAGGACACCTGATAAAAGTGTAAGACAGTTAACCAGGGTGCTAGTGTTTGGGCTTTAATTCACAGAAGCATAAAGAATCCTTGAGAAGCTCTGCAATTATTCTTTAGTAAAACCCATCCATCTGTTATGCTTTGTTTGTCCTTTGCCTTTTCGTAGTTGCACAGTTCCTAGATGTTTGAAGTGCTACAGTTTGAAACTAGTGTGTTCTCTGAGTTCTGTGAATTACAATTCTAAGCTGTGCTTTTTCAGTCTTTTTTGCCAGACACAGACTGTATTGTGAGTTCTAGAAAGTAATTAGACTGTTCAAATTAATGTTGTAATATAAGCTGTTTCCTTTGTGCAGGTTTTTTCTGAAGGTGTCAGAGTTATTTGACAAAACAAGGGTATGTACTGTGAAACTAATGTCGTGTGTCAATTAGACATTAATATGTGCATGTTTTATAGGTGCTTCTATATGAAGCATTTAAGCAATGTGTGGTAGGGAATGAGAAAGCATAAGATTTCATTCATCTGTTTTGTAAAATGATTTTGTAAAATGAACCTTAGGAATCTTCAGTCTGTTAAACATTTCTTGGCAGTCTTCCTGTAATACACTAGTAAAGCTTCTGTTCCTCTAAAGTGCAGAAAGATCCTCCATAACTGTTACTGCGTATCACATGACTTATTATGGATAAAAGAAATGAAGAAATGTAATCCTTAATCCAAAAAATGGTGGTCATGCTGCTTTCTTCTGGAGCCAAGATCTGTTTCTGCAGTTACTTGAGTTGGAAATACTACTGCTGATGCTTCTAAGCAGATTTTTCAAATATCTTCTCTCTTTTACCTTATTTGTTTGGCTTACTAGAAAGCAGATGTATGCCATGTATCAGGAAAACTTTCAAATGAAAAATGTGTGCATTTCCTAATACACAATTGTATCTGCATAAATATGTGCTTCAAAGAAAATTAACAGAAGTACTTGCTTTGACTCAAAATGTTGCATTTTAGAAATTATTTTTTTTAAATTAGGGTTTAAAAAATGCACCTATAAACTCTGTTTCTAAATTCATAGAAATATCTGTTTCAAATACAAGCAAATTAATTTATTGGTCTTTTTAGAGCATTTAGTACAAGCAGTTACAAAACTAGTCTGCAAAGGTGCCTTAAAAATTGGTTTCCCTTTGATCTCAGCAACAACATAAAACTTCTTGTGCAACTCTTAATACAAGCGTTTCTCTGAGGTTTTTCTAGCATATGATCTATATAGTTATATTGGGGGTAAAATAAAGCTGTGTGTAACATAGAAATCTAGTTGTCAATTACTGCTCACACAGTAGGTTATTGCTTACATTTTAATACAAAATCCTAATACTGCTTCTCCTTTTGCATGTTTTCTGTCAATAATGTCTGATCTTAGTTTTTGAAAAAGACAATCTGTCATGTACTGTATATTTTACATTGAATTTGTATCATACAAGTGAATACCCATGTTTTTAACTTGATACTTTTACTTACTGTTTTTCTGTTTGGTGGTGGTGTTTTGTTCTGTTCTGTTTTTCCAGAAAATAGAGGCTCGGGTATCTGCTGATGAAGATCTTAAACTTTCTGATCTTCTGAAATATTACCTTAGGGAATCTCAAGCTGCTAAGGTGAATTTATGGGTCTTTGTTCAGTGGCACTGTGTTTCTTTGACATAAAAAAAAAGAGAGAGAGAAAGTGATAAGGGATGATCTTGAGAAACACACAATATAGACAGGTTAAAATGCTGCCACCTCTAGCCTGTAATTTCTCCCTTAACTGTAAAACCTGTATTTCTCTTGTATGTAAGGAGTAACAATGCAGTTGCTGACTGTGGGACTGACTGTGGAACTGTGTGAGGCACTTGTCGAGGCCAAATCATGCAGTATAACAAAAAAAACAGTCGAAGAGCTGTTTGTGAATTCTTCATCTGTTTGCAATGTGTTCGGTGCTTGTAAGTGCAAGCAATGCTACCTTTCTTTAAATATTAAATGGAATACTCCATATGATCTACTAGTGCTGATACAAAAACACATGGGCCAAATGTAGCCATTTTCTGTGGCTACAGAAAATTTAATTCTTATTGTAGTTGGATGTAAGATGATGAAATAACATCACAGAACGAGGAAGCATTGGATGAAAAATATCTCTAGTTAGATGATCACAGCATCACAGCAATAACTATTGTGCAGCAAAACGTTACTGATGTTTCTTGGGCCTTCTGTGTATTTAAAATACGTAATCTAAATGTAGTTTGTTTCTAATCTAAGAAGCTGTGAAATTTCCTATAATTTGCCTTTTTAGGCTTTTTGGAGTTTTGTCTAAGCCATCTGGTGCTAGCCTCTGTCAAACAAGATGGAGGCCAAACAGTATTATGTTGTGGGTCTTGCAGGATGAACTAAGTGAATGCAAATTATTTAGTAAGAACTGAAATACAGCAAGAAGAACTAAAATTAATTTGATTTTTTTTAATTACTTGGTATATAATAAAATCCTTGGGTAGAGTCTTGTAAACTCTAAACAAACTTTATGGGATTTTTTTATAGGATCTCCTATACAGAAGATCTAGGTCACTAGTGGATTATGAAAATGCTAATAAGGCATTGGATAAAGCAAGAGCAAAAAATAAAGATGTGCTGCAAGCTGAAACTACTCAACAAATATGTTGTCAGAAATTTGAGAAAATTTCTGAATCGGCAAAACAAGGTATTTGGGTGGTCCTTGATCCTATATTACTACTTGAAAATTAACAGATTTTAGGATGCTATTAATTAGAATACATTTTCGTAATGTTTCCTAAGGAAGGCTATTATTTTTTAATCAGTATTTACTTATTTTAGAAAGTTCAAATTATACTTTTCTTTGGTTCCTCAAAGCTCCATTAGGCAGAGCTAAGTCTAGGTGCAAACTACTTGTTAACTTCTTTTTTTCATATGCATAAGCAGTGAAACAAAATAGTAACTGCCAGCAGTAATGGCAGTCAAATCTTTTAAAGTGTTGTTGAAATTCCCCTTTTGGTTTTATGCATTATTCTGTGAGGCACCAGTCTGTCTCATATATGATACTACATTAGAGAAAGGAGAAATAATGAAATGAGATTTCACTGAAACTTACTGTCTTTTTTTTAGGTTAATACTTTTGTGAGTTAGTAGTCATCTGACTCATTGTTTGGGGCAGATTTGTTCAAGGTTTAAACACGTGTTCTTCTGTTTTTATCATTTAAGGGTTGTTTGAGCCAGTAAATCTGGTTGGTGATTCCTGTAAATGAGACAGTGGAGAATGAGTGATCCTGTTAGCCACAAAGCTATATGAAAAAAGCATCGTGTAGTTCATTCTAGTTTTAGCTTAGTATATTCCCTTAAGACTTTCACATATCAACCTTGAAAGAGCAGTGCAGCTGGAATAAAAGAATTAAATGTTAAAAGCAGTCTGTTTTCAAAAGAGCTTTTTGTCCACAAAAGGCTACCTAGAGGTGAGGAACTGCAACGGTGGTTTGCTTTCATCCAACTGTGTAGCAGTATTTTTGAGCCTGAAATGTGCTGAGATTAAACTTGAGTTTTTTCCTTTTGCTTTCTCTCACCCTTTACCTCTTCCATCCTGAAGGAAAGTCTGTTAACTGCTGAGGCCACTAGCAAGGATACTGTTAATGAGTCCACTTTTATTTTCTTTAGAACTGATAGACTTTAAGACAAGAAGAGTTGCAGCATTCAGAAAAAATCTGGTGGAACTAGCAGAACTGGAATTAAAGCATGCTAAGGTAAGTGTGATCTTTTTTGGCCTATGTTTCAACTCATTTTTAATATTGTATGCTCGATTAACCAAAATGGCTATATTTCTTGTGTGAACACTTCATGTTCAGGAAGGGGCATTTGAATTTAAGCATCATCCAGAAAGGTGAACTTTCTTCAATAATAGAGAAAAAAAATATAGGTGAAGTACCTCTGAGAGATTGGTATGCTTGAGGTGCCTTTGGAAAGCTCATCTCTTCAAAGACACTTTTGGCTTCAGTTTTATGCTTCTTTAGCTGTTTGATATTTATAGCTGCAGAGTTTGAAAACCTGCCTATTTTTAAAACCTCATCTTACCATTTTACCATGGGACAGGAAGTGGTTTCTCCTGTTATCCAGATGTTGGGACTTGATGTACAGGATAGGTTAACTATTAAGCATGAGATCACACAGACCTGAACTCAGATCAATATGATTAGCATGCTTTTTGAACCTTTTTGCCTTTAAATTCTAAAGTGTTAACAAGAGAGGAATGTTGCAGATAGCCTTTTCAGGGAAATTAATTTTTGTAGGAAAAAAGCTTTAAGAGGCCTGTAATGTCCTTAAATTTCACAGTGTATTTGATTCTTTTAATCAATATAAAAATATGGTTATCTGCTCTGATTTCATAGGCAAGTACAACAGTCCTAGGAGGCAGCTTTCTTTTAAAAATCAGCTCTTTAGCATTTCTCATTCTTATCACAAATCTGAAACTGCACTGTTTATGAAGCTGTGAATTAACTTAAAAGGTATCTGTTGAAAGGACTAGTTACGAGGTGTATTGCTGCTTTACAGTCTTTCCCGTAGTGCTGAGGGTGTCATTCTTCATTCTGCTAAACCCTTTGTTTGTAAAACTAATGAAACTAATGTACTGTAAAAAGGGTTGTTTGGGGGACTTTTTTTTTTTTTTAACCTTTTTAGGTATAAGTTCAGCTTAATGGGATATTTAGCTGGTAAAGCAATCAACAAGATATGGAAAACTTGACTCCTTTTTCAGATGAATAGTGCTTACTTTAAATAGTCCTAACAGTCATTAGTTGCAATAGTTTTTATTGATTTGCCATATCATACTTTTAATAAGGGAATGAATCCACAGGCTTCTGTCCTGCTTCAGTCATTGACTCTTCATCATCTCTTGTAACTGACCCTTGCTGAAGACCCCACATGCCTTGGAGTGGAACGTTTAAACAATGTCTCTATCCTCTAAAGTATCCTTAAAGAATCATTTCTATTATCTATAAAAGTCACTGTCTTATAGTAATATTCTCTTGAATTTTGACATCTAATAACTGTGGAAGGGAGGGGGAAGATGCTTAATTTATGTAGCTTTCAACTTACTTGATTTGTGCTCAGTTTACCTGGAAGAGCTTGAAGTTTTTTAGCTGTTGTCCCCACAGCTTGTGGTTAGGCCTTAGTTCTTCAGATAGTCTCTGATTTACCTTGTCTTAGGGAATTTACTAAAAAGGAGCGTATAAAGCTGTAATAGAAGCTTTGAATTGTAGTTCTGTTTCTGAAGGTGAATTGCTGCTGACCCTTTTCACTTACTTCATCATAGAGCACAACATTCACTAGATAGTTTTGAGTATTTAAAGCTTTACAATATAAAAGGCCATTTTGACTAAGGGTGACAATTCTCAAAATGTTAACAAATATTGTGACCTGTTGAAGGAAAGGATATTTCGTTTCTCATGAGGTTTGGAAGTTCTCTTTTTTTCAAAGCCAGTGTTTCATATTTAAAACAAGGTAAGCTACTACAGATGGACCAGTTTTGTTGCTGTGTTTTTCTTTATATGGATTCTGAGGCTCTCATTTCAGGGGGTGCTAGGTAGCCCTGTTTTTGGCCGGGTTAAGCTGAGCTGTTTCTAGACACCTAATTCAATTCCTCTTGCGGTACAGCCAAAGGAGGACTAGTAGAAGCAAAAAAAAAACCCTGCTTTTTTCATGTAGGCAATATATTATTTAAGTCAGATCGAAAGCTCCTGCTTCTAGGTTCTGGACAAAATACTTTGCCTGATGCTGTAGCAGTCTCTTTGTGCCTCTGCACCTACTGGAGGCAGGCATATGAAGTTTTAGCAACAACAAAATGGCTATTGCTTGGTCAATAGCGTGTGGAGCACACCACTTGCAAACTTTGAAACACGACCTGTTATTCAGGTCTAAGTGGTTTTTTTCCAGCAAAAATATTAAGTGGGGAGGAAGTCCGTGAACAACAGACACCACTGCTGCAGGCTGTTGCTAGAAGTCTGCTGTTGTGGGTTTTCTTTTGCTGTAATGCGTGTGTCCAGACTAGATGTCATGCAGATGAGTCTGTCTCTGAATCAGTCTCGCCATGTATCCTCTGGACTTGGAGCTGCCTGGCGCAGAAGACAAGGAGGTGAATACGATGTAGCTGTGGGTGCTGGAACTCTCAGCCTGAGAGGCTGTCTTTTGGAGGAATTCAGCCATAAGGAAGGCTGCTGCATGACTTACTGTTAAAAGTTATTTGCTCTGTGTGGAAATAAAAACACAAATCCCAACACAGAGGTCGCTGCTCTGAAAAAGTCAGAATGACCAAAGTATTGAGAGAAGGTTCTGAGACAGGGCTTGCGTTTTGTGAGCTGTAGCTGGCTGTGTAGCTCTAGAAGACTGGATGGTGATAGGGAAATAAACTTTGAATAAATCAAGGACACTATATATACAATACTAAGTGAACCCTCACTGCCCAGTTACAGTTATACTACTTCCCTATAAAATACTTCTTTAAATCTGCTGATATTCTCTGATCCTTTCCTGATTGCATATCTAGACTTCTGAAAAAAGCTAAAAATCAGACTGTGGGTTGAGATTGCTTTAAGTTGATGAAAGTGCAGGCTCTTGCCAGGAAGTATGATGATGCATGACTGTTTCTTTCTTGTATGTTGGCACAATTATATGTGCAGCTGCATAGTAAGACGGAGCTTAACGTTGCTCTGGGTTTTTCGAAGATTTACTTTAAGTCTTGTTTTCACAGCATCACTTGTATACACAGATTCGACTGGGAAGGTCTGGCAATAAAAGAGAGCTGCCTTCTTATCAGCAGCATGTACCCTAGATTTACTTAGAATAGCTGCTGAGCTGCAGCTTTAGATTCTCCTTGGTCTCTGACCTGTACTAAACAGATTGATGTTTCTTTTTGTACGGCCATTCCGGCTAATTATCCCCCTCGGTAGTGCTTCTGTTTTGCTAGTGCTGTGTTTCTTCATGACTTCATGCAGCTGAAGCTAATTTGAGATCTGATTAAGCATTTGGCCATTTTAATGCAAAAGCTGCATTTGGTGTACTATTCAGTATTTTAAACAGTTGGATTTTGCAGTGTTCCTGTGTTGGACTTCATGTCCAAGAAGGGAGGTTTGATAGCTGGTGAAACCGTTAAGGTTACAATCATACACTTAGAGCCTTGGCTGTAGTTTTAGAGTCTTTTGACATATGAATTGTAACTAAGATAGCCACTCCCTTCAAATAAAAACAAATAAAAAACTAGAAATGTATTTTCCCCACAAATATTAATATATCTGCTCTTGCCTCTCTGTTTTTTTTTTAAAAATAATTTCTTGTGTTACTAGCAACAAAAGTCTGTTTGGAACTGACAGAAGGAAGTAAGCAAAATGCAGTGCTAAGGGATTTGATGAAATGTTTTGTCAGTAATTCTTTCTTTCCTGAAAAGGATGTTTCTGTCACTGTGGTTTTGCCAGTAATTTTAATATCTACAGCTTAGGAGTCTGAGCTCACAAGAAACACTTTTCTGAATTTATCTGAATGTATAGGACTTTCTTGAGCTGTGCTTATATAGGTCAAGTATGTTAGATATTGCAGTCAGAAAGAGTAATGTCCTTGATCTATTATAATTTAAATAAGGTGGTTCTTTTCAACTTTGTAAATTTGATCAAATGAAAATTAATTATATGTCTATTTGGAAAATTTTAGTAGTCTGGCTGACTGACTTTGGAAATGACTGATGTGTAAAGGACGTTTTCATAGTTTCACCTTGGCTGGCAACTAGAAATCAGAGGAGTAAAAGTGAGAAAACTTTTGGGTTGAGATAAAGACAGTTTGATAGGGAAAGCAAAAGCCGCACAAACAAGCAAAGGAAAACAAGAAGTTAATTGAGTGCTTCGCATGGGCGGGCAGATGTTCAGCCATCTCCAGGAGAGCAGGGCTCCATCATGCATAATGATTACTTGGGAAGACAACACTCTGAATGCCCCCAGTCTTCTTCTTTCCCCCACTTTATCTACTGAGCACAGTGTCATATGTTATGGAATATCCCTTTGGTCACTTGGGGTCATCTGTCCCGACTTGTCTCCTCCCAGCTCCCATGCACCCCTCGTCACCTTTCCAGCATGGCTGTATGAGAAGCAAAAAAGGTTGAGTAAGAGCTGCTTGGCAATCACATCACCATCTCAATATTATCAGCATTGTTTTCAGCACAAATCCAAAACACATCCCCATATTAGCCACTGTGAACGCAATTAACGCCCCCCCAGTGAAAACCACAACAGATGTATTGGTACTGTCTATTTAGATTGCTACACAATGGCCTGTAAATTGCCAATATACTTCATGCTGCTGTAAGAATGTGGCCAAAAGACTCCTGTCACACTTTTGTTACCAGTAACATGTGCGGTTCACAAGTATCCTTTGGACTGAAGTATTCCTTTTCATTCATTAGTTCATTACAGTCAATAATCAGCTTTTCAGTAACAGAGACCTTAGTTTATGAATTCTGTACACCACAAAGATAGGCCACGAAGTCCCCATGCTTATATAGAACTTGTTCATATCACAGAATTACAAGCCTTCTAAGAAATAGCTTGTGATGCTCCTTTGCCAATATAGCCATAAAAAGACAAGAAAACTGTTGAAGCTGTAACTGAAATTGCTGCCTTCTGGGATAAGACTGAGAAGGATTCAGTAGGCATAACTGGGAATCTTCTGCTTTGAAGCTTTTAAATCAGTTAATTGCTTAATCTGGATTATAAAACCCTTAATAGGGGATAGAATTATGATTTCTTACCTTTTTGGGATGAAGGATGTGTCCTTCTGCTTATCTACCACAGGTCATTTGGAATGCTTTTAACTGAAAAAGTAATTACAAATTCTTTAGTACTTCTGTGGACTGTTTATGAGGGGCATGCAAATCACAGCTACTCACATGTTTTTGTCTGTCTGAAGTTTTCTTTACATGTTTCTTTTTGGATCCGACATTTTTGATAGAAGTAAGCAGCTTTTCTCATGTTCATAACTGGGCATTCAGAAAACTGTGTGTTCTGCATTTTATCTGAATCTGACAGGAATTACTCTTAACACTGTCAGCAGCCTGACATTTTTTTCTTACACAGAGATTTCAGATTTGGGAACAAATCTAGTCCAGCTATTTCATAGTGAATAGCTAGTAGTTTAAAATGATCTGAGTGTAAATGAATACACAAAACAGTGTGAATATTATGAATACCGTGTTGTTTTGGTGGTTTTTTTCTGCAGAGTAAATCCTGGCTTGTCAGTCATATTTGGTTCAATTCACAAAGGTGTCGGTTCTGTAAATTCATTCAGATACCTGAAAATCAGTCTGTTTATGGTATAATCAGAATGCTTTAAATAGGATTAAAAACTGTGTTTGGAAAGAAGGGCAGAGCTTGGTTTAGAGTTAAGCTGAGGTAATGTTCTGATAATCACTTCTGTAGCTCCAGATGTTATTGCTAAACTCAACTTTGGTGGCTAAATCACCTGGCTAAGCTGGTAAATCAGTCTGCTGTCTTTCAAACAAGGCCTGTCCTTGAACAGAGCTGTGAGCTGGGATGGCTGCTATAAGCAAGGAAGTCCTGAATGCTATGAATTGTTTAATACTTGTTGATAAATCCAGTTCTGAGTGTAATATATGCATACTTACACTTTGGGAATCATATTCCAGTCACAGACTAATGGTACTTGCTATATAAAAAATATAAAACTTTGCAACTATGAACTTCATTCCTGAGAGAGTGCTGTGCAGTTAATAGTTTTTGTGACTAGACCAGATCTTGAGGAGAAAACCTGAAAATGGTACTAAGTGCTTATTTTTGAATCTCAAGTTGGCTCCATTTAGTTCCATGACACAATATTCCTACATTCAAAAAGCTCTTTTAGGATAAAAGTTTCTTACACAAGTATTTTTCCATATGCTTAAAACTTGTCTGTTCTGCTTTAGTGCTGGTATTGCTATTTAAAAAACATCTGTCACAAGCGTAAAAGAAAGAAGAGAAATGTGGTGATATTTTCCTTTATTTTTACAGGGTAACTTACAGCTTCTGCAGAGCTGTCTGGCAGTGTTAAACGGTGACACATAAGCTACGCTCCGTCCTCCCACTAACAAGGGCTGCCCTCCTCTGGATTTTGTTTTCATAACTTTAAATAGGCATTTACAGTTCCCCGGAGAAAACATTTGACAAAGTGCACATAAGCAAGCTTCTTCTTTCAAAAGAATTAGAACAAACACCTGAAAGTAGCTCCAGACTATATGAACAGTATACTTGTTATACATACATATTCATGTTTATTTAATCATTATATGCTTTCATTGTTCAGAAAACAAATGCTCGGGTTTTGTGAAAATAGCCAATGTAATCATATTCATGTTATGAATACTATGATACAGCTGCAATCTTATTTACCTTTGTAAGTAATTTCTGAAGTTCACCATTCGAAACACATTGTTCAAATGGCCTAAATATTACCATTAGATATTTCAATATTGTTACTATAATGACATTGTATACACTGTCTTAGTTTTTTTCCATGTACTGATATCAAAATACTTATCTTTTTTTCAATTGTGAACATTTCTTAGAAATTTTGGAGAATTTTGTGTAACCTTTATAACTATGATTTAAAAAGAAAAGCAGATGCATTAGTATGTTTGCCTTAACTTGTAGACTAATCCAATTATTGTAAAATAAACCATGAAATCAATGATTTTTCTAAAATTATGCAGACATTGTATCATCTGTAAGCTTTATATTTTCTAGTAAATTAGATTTTTTTTTTCTCTACTCATCACGTAAAAACCATTGACTAAGTACTGGATTGGTCTGACACTACTCGCCCGCTGGTACTTTTTCACTTGCATTCTCAGGTTTTATCTCTTTGTCTGTGTCTTTCCTATCCAGTGTACTTAAATTGTTTTGAGCTTGGTGGCTGACTCTGCAATTTCTTTGGCAGAAATACTTTATAGAGAACTTCTTGGGGGTTTCTTTCCAGAAAAGTGAAGTAGTAGTGGAAGGGAGTTCAGAAAGTGCATAAAATATCTATGAAAGGTAATACTGCCCCACTGTGATAGAGATAAAAAGATTTGCTTCAGAAAAAAAAGTGAAGGTATCCCCTATGAAGGAATGTGTGAAAAAGATCTCATTCTGCTAACTGAACTTAGAACTATGAAGCCAGTTTTAATAGTTGTATTGATTTGTGTCTCTTACTTGAACCACAGATTTTTTCCAAGAGGTGCTGTTCTGTTGTGTAGTTTCAGGATGTTGTAAAATTAGGCTTTACTTGATGAATTGCTCTTCACAGTGGGATTGCTGCTTTATATGGGTTTGTAGGCCTTCAGTGGAGCAGCAGAATTTCGGGTGAATGGTATATTTGGAAGTGCAGATCAGTGTAAGTCAATGTCTCTCTGTGGTTACAGATGCCCTGTACCAGAGGTGAAAGATTTGTTTTGTTTTGGTTTTTTCTCAAATAAGGTGAATTGCACAGTGTAGTATACTTACCCTGCTGCCTTGCACATCAGAACATTGCAGAGGAGTTTGCATTGTGTGTTGATTCGTGTACGCATCACCTCAGGCTTCGATGGCCATTGCCCGATGGCTCTTGGCAACTTGCCTAGTCCAGAGTATTCCCACCAATGCCTATTGCACTAATACTGTGCTGTTCATCTTCCAAATATAACAGGTATAATTCCTAAGGAACTCATCTATAAATAGACTATAAGGGACAAAGATGACAATGTATATACAGTTACCAAAATTGTAAATATTTTAAGTAGGATGTGGGAACAGTTTTTAGGTTAGTTTTTGCTGTTCAGTGTTACTAGCTCATTAAACTTTTTTCAATCCTCTTGGTATTGGGTGTGTCTCTTAAAACTCTAATCCCGGCTCGGTAACGCCGGAGCAAAGTGCTTAAAACGTGACCCGAAGACTTGCAACTCCAAGGAGCAAAGGGAAAAGAGCGGCGGGGCCGCCCAGGATCGGCGGGGCCGGGCCGAGGCGGCGGCGGGCGGGGCCCGAACGATACAGTATCAAAGTGCCCAACACGTAATTCGTCTATGAGACCAGGGCGGGCTCGGCCGGCCGGAAGCTGCGGTGGCCGCGCGGAGGGGCGGGGCCTGGGCCTGGCACGGGGATTGCGGCGGGTGCCGCCCATGGAGCCGCCCTGCTGGGAGGAGGGGACGATCCGACGTGGTGGCAGGAGCCAGCGACGATGAGCGGGCTCTCAGCAGGTGCAGGCGAGGCCCGGGGCGCCTGCGAGCTGCGGGCCGTTGGGGTGGCTCGGGCCGGCGGGCAGCGTGTCCCGCTCTCGCCTGCGGTCTCACAGGGCCCGGACGCATGGGCCAGGGCCGCGCCTTGTGCGCCGGGCTACCCCCGGCCCTGGGGCGCTCGTGGGGTGCAGGAGGATCGGCCTCGCAACAGCCGCGGGATTTCCTTCCCTGGAACCGGCGTATTCACGTTTCTGACCGCACCGATGGCGGTGTGTTAAAACGGCCCCTGCGCGGAGCGGGAGCTGCAGGGACACAGTCGGCTGAAGCTCCTTTGCGTTTAAACCAGAGTTTTAATATCACCAAACTAATAAAGTCTTTTAATAAGTACGGTTTCCATAAAGATATGAGTAAATGTTTCCTAGTGAACCCACACAATTCAGCTGTTTGTTCTCCAAGTCACTATGTCCGTGTTTTAAACTGGTTGCAACAATTAGGTGTATAACGCTTAAATGTTTGTAGCTCAGAGGATGAGGTGGATGTGCTCCTACACGGCACTCCTGACCAGAAGCGGAAGCTGATACGAGAGTGCCTGACTGGGGAGAGCGAGTCTTCCAGTGATGATGAGTTCCAAAAGGAGATGGAAGCAGAACTGAACACCACCATGAAGACTATGGAAGGCAAATGGAAATCACCAGAAATGGGTAAATCATGCTTAACAGCTGCTTGCATATAAAAATCATGAGTTAAGTGAAGTTAATGTAGTATTTTCATGGCTAGCGAGGCTGTGTATGCAGTGATAGTTGAGTTTTTTGAAGCCAAGGGAGAAGTCTTAAAATGGCTGATGGTGCCTGTGGAAATGATCACAAGGTGCTGTTTCAGTGAATGCTTTTTTTTTTTTTTTTTCATTTTTTTAAGACTTCGGTTTTGGTGTTTTTGAACTTCTGATTACTTGCTTTAGTATGATTTCTTTCTGTTAGGTCAGACCCCTTTTTTCCAATATCTCTTTAAGTTCTTTCGTGCGTGTTTAGAAGTCTCTTGAGCAGGTTGCAGTCTCCTGTACTTTATCTAGTGGCTCTGGATGGCTGTCAAGCTTTGGAGGCCTTTCTTGAAGAAAGGAATAGCACCTGGTATATTGAATCGGTTGGGGGAAACAGGAAAAATATTAATCTCTTCCTCCCTTACCCGCTCATAATTGTTGCAGCAAATAGTAAAACTGTATTGAAGATACCCATGTTCTGGAATTTGTATATTATGGGTGCAAGAGATGGATGCTTTGGCATTTGACTAGTGTATGTTTTTACTTATTACAAAACAACTTGCGAAGTGTTCTTAATGTCCTGGTGAATCAGTGTAGTAGTCACATCAGTCTGGGGACTTCACTCTGCATTCAACGCGTTTATTAGTTTTATTTATGTTAGTGGCCAAATATGATTTTGTTCAGTTAAGAATATATAGCAATATTTGCACCACCACATCCATACAGCACAGGATAGGAGTTTTGGTGCAGACAGGCCATGATGCATGTGTTTGGCGGTTCATCTGGGTCTTTTTTGAACTTCTGTGGCCCTGAAATTTTGGGGGACTTTTTTAGTGAATTTTATTGTAATCAAAGTTTGTGAAACAATGTGCTACACCTGTATTTCTTTCACATGACTAAAGATTTGTGGAGTGTCTTGTGCGTATTACACAGGGCAGAGATAGGCATATTTGTTGTGGTGCTCTCTGTGCCTAAAGGAAGTGTACCCTGGGAGAAACCTTCCTTTAAACCTTCCTGAGGTTCATCTCAGAGGGAAGGAGTAGCTTTGCAGCTTTCACCTGTAAGTGAAATAACACAAGTGATGTGGATGATCAGGATATGGGAATAAATTGGGAGAGCTGTTACTTAACACACCCAGACAGAGCAGAGCACTCTGGATAGAGTAACGAAAGTGAAGGTTTGTTCTGGACTGTGTACTTGCTGTCCTTTTGTTGGCGTGTTCCTACCATTTCTTTCTCTAATTGCACCCACAGGTACTTCATCAAGTACTGGGCAGACTGGACCTGCCACCACTTCAAAATACTATGATGATATTTACTTTGATTCTGATTCAGAGGATGAAGATAAAACAGGTAAATGACAGAGGAGAGAGGAGGGCATCTTTATGGTACTTCTCACTCTCAGACCCTGTAGAATTCTCTTGGGGGGGTCAAGAGGCTGTTCCTGAAGGAAGCCTTTTAGGGGGAATTACCAGCCTATATAATCTCAGTGTAGTTCCTGCAACTTGATGATGTATCCCACTGTATGTAAGGTGTGTTAATGCTTTGGGGCTATCTATTTGGAGGAGAGATGAGCTAGACCTTTAAGTTTCAGTTTAAATTTATTGTGAGGATGGAAAAGGAAAATTGAAAAAATATTTTGATAATTTAAGTAGAGAATAATCATATGCCTGATGGATGTAACACATTCTTGCACAAATCTTTCCAGATACACACGATGTCCGGAAAAACAGAAAACATCAGCAGCGTCGGATTCTTTCCAATGATGAACTGCTATATGACCCAGAGGAAGACAGTAGAGACCAAGAGTGGGTAGACTCACAGAGGAGAGGGTAAGAGACCATCCTTGGTTGCTTAATATCAACTGAGAATTTTAAATGAAAATGGTGAATGCAGAGAAAAAGCCAATGCTGTCAACTCCATCCAGCGAAACTATTTTTTATTTATAACTTACAGCATATGAAATTTAGAAGCCCATAAAATGTTTAATGTGTATGTAATGGAAGTTGAGTAAAACTGCACAAAACTTGCAATTTTTAAAATCAAGATTTCTGACTTCTGTAAGCCGGTTTTGTCTGTAGATCTCATCTAAAGAACCATGCTGTGAGTTAAAAGTTGTAAGATAATTTGGTTGTTAATTAATATCTATTCCTACTAAATACTGTGTCTAGTTTTGGAAATTTTTGGAAACTTTGAATTTAGCAAGCCACAAAATGTTCAGATTAAATAAGAACAGCACAAATCTGCTTTACTGAGGGTTTTTTGAAGGGTAAAGTAGAAAAATGGTTGTTGCAGCTGAAGTAAAATTCTCCATGTATATCTTTTGAATAAGATAATATTAATATATGTTGCCTGCAGAGATTGCACTTGAGATACCTCCTTTGTCAGAGGAGAGGGTTATCAGGCACAAATTCTCATGCCGAGGTATTTGTCTCCCCAAATGAAAATTATCTGTACAAAGTAAATGAAAAGATACTGGTATGTGCTTTCCCCCTGCTTTATTTATGGTGTATTTTAATGTAAAAAAGGTTTGACAGTTGACTTGATATGACCAATAGCAAGGGCCTGTAATTAATTTTTTGTCTCTCCTTCCTCCTTTCTTGCATTGGTAGGTACCGTAACCAAAGAAGAGCTCCACAACGGCAGCAGGCAAAACCTGCACCTGTCCCCAATAGTGATGCTGTTTTGAATTGCCCTGCTTGCATGACAACATTATGCCTGGACTGCCAGAGGTAACTAGTGAACAATAAGGGTCTTTTTGTAATGTCTTTTTTCAGTCAGGAGTATTTTTATTGTATTCAGTTTGGTCAACGGATTTTATCAATTCTGTCTTGCAAAGTGTCGCTAATAAAGAGAAGGCAGGTAGGTGTGAATCAGGTTTAGAGTTGGATGCTGGTTTGTAAAAATGATGATCACTTTAACCTACAGTGGGGAGATGTGGAAGAATAAGGTAGAACTTTACCAAAGTGGACAAGGTAAACTTTTAAAAAAATATAATAATTGTGGACTAAGCAGGTAGTTCAGGCAGATTGGGGTTTTTTTAGATATATATCTGTACCTATTTGCTTGATGTTCAGAGGCATGAAACTATTACAGATTATTTTTGTGTAAAAGAGCCTTGTTAAAGGAGGATTAAGCAAAATCAAGATAGTGAATTCTTACTTGGTTTGAGTCTTAACAGTTGTGGTTTTCAGTTACATTTAAAAGTGCCAGGAAAGGATTTACATGAGAATCCATACTGTGTTTGCTGCTCTCCAGTATCTTCATCGCAAATCTAGTTAGTGCTGCCTACCCTATGCTAAGGAGAGGACTCTTGAACTGGGATTAACAGGAGAAAAAAATCTTGTGAAATGAGGAATAAGCTACTTATTATTTACTGAGTATTTTTGATGATTGAGGATGAAATTCCATAGCAGCCTTAAAGCATCTACTGGGTGCTGTTTTTCTCTGTCTGCTTTGCTGGCACTGGTAGTTCCTGACCCTGTTCTGTAATTAAGTATTTCAGTTTGCTAAGCTGACAGAAAACTCTCAATTTTTATTGCCAAACTGGTCTTTCCTCGGTTTAATCAACTGAAATAGCTCAGCACAACATTATACAAGCAGTAAAGCTAGCAGAAGTCAAGGTAGGACTTCTGCAGCCACTGTTATGTCAGTTTAAGCTGCTGTAAAACTGCACCCTAGGGACATTGTGTTAAATTGAACAAAAGCCCTGAGTTTTGCTACATACTCCAGATATACAGTTGTTAAGACTGATGACAGCTGAAAATGCATTTTATGTTTTACTATAGACATGCTTTTTCTAGTGTGATGTCTTAATGCTTGTTATTTATAAATAAGGAATTGCAGGCTTGCAAGACATTTTAGGATGTCAGTGCCAGTAGCTGAGTCATTTGCACTCCTGATCTTTTGCCTATTGCCAGCTATATGTAGCAATGCATAATTCTGCAGTACCAGTACCATTGTACTCCAGGCTGGTTATTTCAGCAACAGCCAGCATTTTTTTAAAAAATGCCTTAAAAATATAACAGATGGCTGCAATTCTATGATTTTATTATTTTTGTAGTTGTGACTTCTGTTTATAGAATGTCATATTTATTTGGCTTTCAGCTCTTTGTCATAGTACTTCCTATCTTTAATCTAATTTTCAGTGATGGTAACAGATTTTCTCCCCTTCTCCATAGACATGAATCTTACAAAACACAGTACAGAGCAATGTTTGTGATGAACTGCGTTGTTAACAAAGAGGAAATACTGAAATACAGAAAGAAGGTAAAGAGCAGAAGTAAGAAAATGAAGCACGGCAAAGAAACTAGCTCTGTACAATCAAATCAAGAAGAGGAGGAAGTATATCATCCAGTATTATGTACTGAATGCTCAACTGAAGTGGCAGTAATGGATAAAGATGAAGTTTTTCACTTCTTCAATGTTCTAGCCAGCCACTCCTAATGTGCAAATGCAGGGGGAAAAATTACTGCGCTGTTTTAAGAATGTGGGAAGTGTCAGAAATGCAGGCATGTTAGCCTTTTTAAACTGTGGTCTTGTAAATGTGCATTTTCATCAGAGAACTTTGTAATGGTTGGACTTTTGCAAACTTTATGAAAGGAACACAGTTAACTGCGTGCATTTGAGAGCAATATTCTTTTCTACCGTCAGGTGGTTGCATCATTGGGGATTTAAAATTTTGTAAATATCATGTAAGATCTGTATATGATGATCATTCCCTGTATATATACTACCCATTATCTGAGTATGTATTAGAACTGCTCCTTGGAATAAATACTGTATAGTAACTGGTTCTCTGTAGCTGCACTGATCATTTTTATGGCACGGGATAAACAACTCCAAGTCAGCATGTTGGGTGTCCTTAGGCTTGTGTTCTTGGTAGATTTGCACACAGGTAGGTTTGTGTTGTGGTTTAACCTCAGCTGGCAACTAAGCCACACAACTGCTTGATCACTTCCCCCCTCCCTCAGTGGGGAGGAAAATTTGGAAAAAAAGGTAAACCTCATGGGTTGAGATAAGAACAATTTAACAGCTGAAACCAAATATGATTATGATGATGATAATAGTAAGGGGAGGGAGAGAGAAAGTAAGTGATGCACTACTGCGTGGCCAGCTTTTGGTAGTGGCGATGGCTTCTGTGAGAAGCTGCTAGAAAATTCCTCCATATCTGACAGCCAGTGCCAGCTGTCCAGGATGGACCCACTGCTGGTCAAGGTTGGGCCAGTCAGAAATGGTGGTAATGCCTCTGTGATAACATATTTAAGAAAGAAAAAAAGTTACTGCACAGCAGTAGTTGTGGCCAGAGAAGAGCAGAGTGGGAATATGTGAGAGGAACAACTCAGCAGACACCAAGGTCAGTGGAGGAGGAGGGGGAGGAGGTCTCCAGGCGCTGGAGCTGAGGTTCTGCAGCCCATGGTGAAGCAGCTGTCCCCCTGCAGCCCATGGAGGTCCACAGGGGTGCAAAGATGCAGCTGCAGCCCGTGGAGGAGCCCATGTCAGAGCAGGTGCCCAAAGGAGGCTGTGACCCCATGGGAGGCCCATGCTGGAGCAGGGGCCTGGCAGGGACCTGTGGACCCATGGAAAGAGGAGCCCGTGCTGGAGTAGGTTTCCTTGAAGGACTTGTCACCCTCTGTGAGACCCATGCTGGAGCAGCTTGTGCCTGAAGGACTGCACCCTGTGGAAAAGTGACCCATGTTGCAGAAGTCTGTGGAGAACTGTTGCTTATGGGATGGACTCATATGGGAGAAGTTTGTGAAGGACTGTCTCCTGTGGGAGGGACCCCACACTGGAACAGGGAAAGGACTCTTCTCCCTGAACAGTGGCAGGAATGTGTGATGAACTGACTGTAACCCCCATTCCCCATCTCTCTGCACCACTGGGTGGGAGGAGGTAGAGTCTAGGAAGGAGGGAGGGGTGGGGGGAAGGTTTTTTTACGATCTATTTTCCTTCTCATTATCCTGCTCTGATTTTGTTAGTAATAAATTCAATTAATATCTCCCAAGTTCAGTCTGTTTTGCCCATGACAGCGATGAGTGATCGCTCCTGATCCTTATCTCAACTCATGGATCTTTCCCTATGTTTTCTCTCCTGTCCACTTGCAGAGGTGAGTGATAGAGCGGCTTTGGTGGGTGCCTGGCATCCAGTCAGGGTCAGCCCACCCACAACACAACTCTCCACCTGCTGACTGATACCCAGCTTGTCCCTGAGCAGCAGTCGATCCCCTTCCATGTAACTCCCCCAGTTTATATACAGAGCCATGACATTCTATTGTACGGAATATTCCTTTGGCCAGTTTGGTCAGCTGTCCTGGCCATGCTCCCTCCCAGCTTTTTGTGTAGCTCTTCACTGGCAGAACATGAAACACTGAAAAGTCCTTGACTTAGGATAAGTACCACTTAGCAACAACCAAAACATCAGAGTGTTCGTGAGAACATTTTTCTCATACTAAATCCAAGCTACTGAGAAGACTATGAACTCTGTCCCAGCCAAAACCAGGACACTTTGATAAAGAAGGAATTGTCACCGTATTTGGATTTTTCATTCATTAAGATCTCAAAAAGTTGAAACTTCCATTTATATAGAGTGGAAAATGAGCTTATATAGAGTTTGCTGGCATGGATTGTTCTGCAATGGATCATTTAAATCAGCATATTAATGTCTAATAATACAGCTGAGTGCTCTACATATAAATATGTATATGAAGAAAGTACTGAACTTTATTGTCCTTTTTCCTTACGATGACACATTTTAAGAAGAAATTTATGATCAGATCTATGACCATAGAGCTAATTTGCATGCTTTTTCTGTTTCTTTAGTACATTTACATCTTCTTTATGGAAGCATAAAGAGCTTCTGCTACTTGATATTTATGAAGCCACTGCATAGTTAACAACGGATCCTTCCCTCTCTTCTTCCAGGTGTATGCCTAAGAGGTGAACTCTTGTTTTTTATAGTAAATCTCCTCTCTATAGCCTGATATGTTTTTAAGTTTACTTTGAACAATGGTCTGAAAAAAAATCTCATCATTGTGCTTTTTGTTGTAATAGTACCAGGAATAATTTGTTATATGTGCTTTGAGGAATTGTCAGAAATATTTGAACTTAGGAGGCAAGAACCTGAAGAACATACTTCTTTTGTGCCTTAGATTATAATAAAATCTTGTGACTCTTTGGTTACCTTTTGTAGTCCCTGGTGTAGTATTTTACTAATGTACACACACTCGTTCTACACTGTTAATGAGATTAGGAAGAAATAAACATGTTGGTTCTTCTGTCAGAATTACATGAGAAAAACATTGAATTATTATTTTCAAGTCAGCAGAAACTTATCTTCTCCTTGATGAAGTACAGAACTGTTGATGCAGCTGCTGAACACTTAATTGGTTGGCCAGTATGATGTGCCTTCCTCTGCATGTGCAACCTACAAATAAAATGGAGCCATGCAGGTTCTGAGGTTTGGGATATGCCTGAAACAAGATCTCAATCTCAGCTTTGCTACCTACTAGTCAGACTCCTTAGTGGAGTGTCTGACTTGCAGTATTAGATAGCTGTGGGATCATTTAAAGTGAGAGAAATTGTTACTGTGTGCCATGAGCCAGGAGGTGCATAAGGAAAATTTTGAATGTACAAAGAACTGTTTCTTCTTGGTAGAAGTATGGAGGAACAGATGTGATACAGAGCATATGGTCTGTGCTTTCAGGCATGCTGGCCTCGATTTAGCTCTCTTCATGTTCCAGGTGAAGCATGAAGGCTCTCTAGGTTAAGGGTCTTGGCACTGACCTGCTGGAAACATGAGCACGTGGGAATGTAGTTCAAGGGCTCAAGAATTGATGTGGGTGGTATCAGGATTATTACTAAGTGCTGACAGTCCCTAAGCAGGGGTAAAACGGAGCTGGTGAAGGAGGGGAAACTCTATACATAGGAATATTGTCCATTTTCTGAAGGGGCTAACTAGCAAAAAAACCTCTCATGAATATGCACCACAACAAAAAAGTGTAAGGGGCCACCCACCTGGGGTGTTAGGGCAGGTGCAGTGGGGGATTTTGAAGACAGCACACCTCTAGATATTACCCTTCCTCTTATCCCAGGTCCTTTCTTGCTGCTGCGGTTTGTTTGCCTTACCACTTGAATTGCAGAGCTCCTTATTTGGAATCATAGGAACAGACAGGACTGGGACTTGTTTGCTCCATGTTGATCATGCTCTTGCAGCTTAGAATAGGAGTAATGCTTTACTTGTGCTGAATACCCCACTTGTCCTTGAACATTGGACATGTTTATACAGAAAGGCGCCTTTCATGATTACCACTGCCTTTTCAAGCAGCTACACCAACACAGGGCTCCTCCAGCAGCAATTGCAACAAGCAACGGCAGGCTTGGGTAGGGGCAACAGCTCCTGTAGGCAGTTGTGTGGGGGTATTAACTGTGTGAGTGCTCTCATTTCTACTTGTCTTTTAAGAAATCTGCAAAGTGTGTCTAAATGTCTTCTGGGTGAATTAAATCCCTTTTCAGATTCCTGCCACACGAAATAGTAGAGTCTTAAGTTCTGTCTGCCAGCTGCTCTTTTTTTTCACAGTAATCTCCTGGTCCTGTAGTTTTATTTTGCAGCTGTGTAAATAACTCATATGTGCATCCTCCTGTGGTTGTATTTCCTTGTTTTTCATTGTACAAACAGCACAGGTGAAGGTAGTGGTGGGGTGGCTGCAGGAACAGAATCACTGCTCAGTGACATAATTGCAAATTGATTTACCAAGCAGAGTATAGTGGGTCGACTTCAGTTTCTAATCGGCGGCTACGGTGTGCACACTTGGCAAATGAGGTCCTGGCTGGTGACCTGGACCTGCTGCCTGGTGGTTGCAATGCATGCTCTGCTTAGTTAAGGTGCCTGATGATTGTGTACATCCCTTTCCAGCTGGCTTTCAACTCGTGCCTTCTAGAGTGGCAGTATAAACTGCCAAGAGCCTTCCTACTCATGTAGTCCCAAACTGCTCTCTGGGAATTACTTATTAATCTTAGGCAAATTAGCAGTCAGGGCAGGGGTGTCCCACACCCTCTGGTTTCTGGCTCCAAGTGCCTTAGGGAAGTGAAAAGCTAGCAACAGTCACAAGTAAACAGTTGATCTATCACCTCTTTCTTTTTTCTATTCATACGGATCAGTGTCATCACAGTTGGCCGATCTTAAGGTCGCATTTATCCGAGCCATGTTTTTGGGTGGGCTTTACCGTCTGACAACGAAACCGAAGGCCTGTGCAGAGCATTTTTAACATGCCTCCCGTGGGCCTTGCCGAGCACCGGCTTCGGGTCTGCCGCGATTCCCAGATCAAATTTGAACAGGAGGTGTGACTCGGGCTGGCAGGTTACCAGGTTCAGGGCCAGCCGCGTAACGTAACGAGACTGGGCCCGATGTGGGCGTTCCTCGGGGAGGGCCGAGGTACCGGTGTGCCGGGGGTGCCCCAGACGTTCTGTCCGGGTGTGGGATCACCGGCACCGCCCGTGACGGGCCCCAACAGGCCGCGGCCTCCCCGGTCGGGGGCGCGGGGCGGGGCCGGGGAAGGGCTGTCCCGGTGCGCTCGCTGGCTTGCGCACTCGCCCTGGCCCGGCGCGGTCCGCTGGGCGGCGGGAGCGCCATGGCGCTGGTGTCCGGCGTCTGAAGCAAGATGTCGGTTGGCTGTACTACTAACCAGTACCGATGCTGGTTCAGCCGCCCTCTACATGCTGGAGCCCTGAGGGAAGAGCACCGTTTCAGTATCCTTCTGGCCGGAGTGTGTGTGTGTGCGCGGCGCTGGGCTGCCCACCGCGCCAGCT